ATATAAAGTAGATATTTATGTATATTTATGTAAGTGTACACAGAATCTTTTCAACAATTGTAGTGTGCAAGAGATGGAAAGTATTAATGAAAAAATCCTGGTATAGTGTGAAAAGACTGGATTTACGGGATTCTATGTGGGACTCTTTAGCTGACAGAAAAAGAAAAGGAATTCGTTTCTGTATGCTTCGTAAAATATTATTACGATGTGGTTCATATTTAAATGAAGTAGATTTGTCCTTTGTGCCGTATCGTTTACATTGCAATGCAGTAATAGTCATCGGAAAATTGTGCCATTATTTAAAAGTAATAAATATCACTGGTGTTTGCATTTCGCGGTTTACTATCCGTTCGTTCGTCAATAGCTGCCACAATATTAGAAAATTAAGTGTTGGTGAAGTCACTCGCCTTTGCGATATTGATCTAAAAATGTTATTCGAAATGAATCCAAAGTTACAACATTTTGAAGCTTATCGTACTCCAATAACCGGAAGGTGCTTATTGCATTTACCAACGGACAGAATAGAAGAAGTCGTTCTAGACTCTTGTCAATATCTTGAAGAATACTTTGCATTGGAGGTGAAGCTTTCAGTTTATTTTCACCGCCTTTAAGAAAGATGGATCGAGTAATTAATATTTTTCAGGCAATTGTGAGACTACAAGGAATGAAAGCGTTTACGATAAATAGATGTAAATGTATATCCGGTAACTTCTTTCGATTTCTCGGCACACAATGTAAGAATTTGGAAACTTTAAAAATTTGTCATATTCCATCTACATCATATTTCCAATCAACAGACACGTTTTATATTACGCAATTATCCAACCTCAAAGCTCTGACAGTCAGTGAGAACAATGTAATTACGGACGAATTTCTTTTTAGTCTGCTAACGACATGTCACAACCTCACATATTTAGACATTTCCAGTAAGTCAGATATCATACGGAAGTAATTCAGTATACAATAATTTACTCAATTTCTCGTCTGTTGCAGGATGTTCTGGTATTTCAAACCATGGCATGACCGCTATAACAACCGTTCCCTCGTTAGAAGTGTTAATAATGAACGATGTGCCAACAGTGACTAAAGTGCATCTATCTGAGGCATCCAATTTCAAAAGAATAGAATGTCGCAATTCGAAATTTATGGATAGTGTGATAATTAATCTTATTAAATTCTCGCCGCAATTGAGGGTGCTAGATTTATCAGAATCCCCATCTATTACTAATAGAACATTAGAGGAAGCTGCCAGAATTACGGCCAGTCGAACCAACAATATTACTTTAGAAATATTCGTAGACGGTACCTCAGTGGATCTTAGGACTTTTAATAACGTATCACCGTTTTTACAAATAGTAACATTTCCACTTGTACTGTAATATTTGTAAATATTTATTATGTAATTATACTATGTAACTATGTTAACGAAACACTTTAAAGTGTTGAAAAAATGAGAATAACTTTGACTTAGACATGTTAATTTGCAGTAACTTTAGAGACGTAAATCGATAGTACTTATGTCGATAGACAAACTTTGTGAATGATTTTGCAGAAAATTTACGAAACAGAAAAAAAAGGGATGATAGACGGTAGTGCGATTATATTATCTATAAACGAAGCACATTATTACTATTTTATACCATCATAACTAGTATTACCATGCAAATTTTGACAAACTACG